CAAAGTTCATTCTATATAATAATACCCATCTAGCCCAATGCAGCATATAAACCAATGTTAATGAGCATAATTTTCCATGAAGATACTGTATGCAGATTGTAAAAGTAGTTCTTGCTTGCCTGAGTTGACACGTTGTTTTATTTCAGTTTACAATTTATAATAGCACAAGAATTTAGTCTAAGTTGTTAAAATGCTCTTTCTACTGAACTGTTTTAGTTTAAGTTTATCACCTCTTTCATTCCCACACTTACTATGAATTTTCTTGCATGTGAATGCACCTTGTAAAGAGGGTAGAAGCACTGATGACTGAAGTTCCTTTCAAAAGAACATGTAGTATGAGCATCAGTGGTTCAGATTTCTTTGTGAAACCCCTTAATTTTTACTTGAAAAGGTTTTCTTGAGTGCTTAGCTTTTTGTCTCTGCTCAAAATCCCAACAAAGTTTGAAACAGTCCAAAAATGTAAAATGTTAATAATTACATAATTATTCATGGAGTTATAGTTGATTATTAGTATTAATAAACTAACTAGTTGCATATTTATATTATGCTTTCTCATAGTTTAATATTGGTAGTTGTTTAGTGACAATAGGACAAAGTACTTGTATAATACAGTTCTGAAGGAGAATTTTATTTGTATTCAATAAAATAACAGCCATTTATGAACAACGGTGCAAACATTTTTGCATTTGAAACAGACTAAAATTGCTTATTTTAATTAGAATTCTCTACAGACAAATAATTCCTGAAAATAATACGATTTACAAGCTTCTACTCAGGCTTGCTTTCCCAAGCAGACTTACTGATAAATTTGCAAATGCCTTCTTAAAAACTCAGCTGTCTTAAATGAGTAGTCCAGAGATGTCATAATGGCATTTTGAACTTGACATCCAAACTGACCTAAATCAAACAGTAGCATTATTGATGAACAGTTTTTCAATATCTAGGTACTAATCTAAAAATATCCTGGACCTCTGAATCATGAATTTCACAGGGGCCAGTCTCGAAGTCGAATAGGAAAAGGTGGAATAGAGCCAAGGAAATGTTTACCATGGCTACATATTTTTATAGTTCACCTTTAGTAACAGTGTAAAAAGCATTTCATTGGCACTCAGATATGTATTCCTGTAGGCATGAATTTCATGCATTATGTGCAACACTTACAAATACTGCCTGAACACCTGAGAAAATCTCACGTGGTCAAAATATCTGCAGTGTACAAGTAGTTCACAAGTTATGTCTATCATTTAAAATCTATCACAAATCTTTTGGCAGCTAATTAGCATTCAGTATCTGTTTGAAATCAGCAAATAGGCAAGAATATGATAAAAATGGATCCCAGTAAAACAGATGATGACCATTGGAAAATGCTTTCAAATAGGAGACTACCATAATAAAGCTTAATCCCTGGATTTATGGCCACATATACAGAAATCCATAAGGAATATGCAAGTAGGTGATCTTAATTTTATTTGACTTATGGTTGTGTGGGCCCTTGGGTAGGAACACCAAGAAATTCCACTTCCAAATAAGTATTTTTATTATGGTACCGCTGACCTGATGCAAGCATGTTTTCATGGCCCATTTGAATGATGTCAGATTTTTCATTCTGAAACTCAGTTGCCATTTTACCTGCACTGTCAGTTGCCAGGATTGTTATTACTCATCGTAGTTCATCACTCTGTGCCGTCTTTGTAAGAGAATATAAAGATAACAGTTACTGAAGTCATAGTTCATTCTGCAGACTGCTTGCTTCTCCAACTAACTTGTGTACATCCAGGTGTCTAAGTAACTACTTTCTTCTTGGTGTGTGTTTAGTTTACTCCTAAACAACCAACTTAAAGTTTATGGTTATTACATTTACAAATCACATTTTTCAAATATCTGTTGTTGTTCTTTTAAAAATCCTTCTTGAATCCTGGCAGACTTCACCAGCCAACTATGAGATCTGCCTGTCTCAGGGTTTCCCTTCAGCCCAGCTTCCTAAAACATCCCAAACCTATAGAAAAATTTCTCTCTGACTTCTCCAGATAGGTCTGAGATTACTCTCCTGTATGATTTCAGCTTGTGAATGTGTAAGTCAGTAATATGGAAAGATGATTTTTCCAGGAAAGACAGTCCAACAGTATGAATTCTTAAAGGATTTCCTCTGTAATACTTGGTACTGGGCCACTAATTTGCTTTAAAATCATGAAATATGATATTAAATGAAAAATTAAATCCTTTCAAAAGCAGTCAGCTGTCTAGGCCACCATTACCCATTTGGTAGGACCAAAATAATTTTTGGCTGTATTAATAATGCTCAGGATCAACAGAACTGTTTTCTATCAGGAAAAAAATAATTTGTGCAGGGAACAGTGCTGTGCTGGGAGCGGTCCCCTGTGGAATTTCTGAAGGAATAAAAACAATCACAAAACTCATAGGCGTTTTGGTGAAATGCATAATGGATTTTGGCTTCACCTCATTAAACAGCAGTACATAATAAATTATATATGAAACCCTCAACTCACACAACAAACATCTTACAACAGAGTAAAAATGGAACAGAGGACAGGAATCAAAATAATCTTGTTAAATTACATGCTTCTGGAAATCATTCTGGTTGGAATTAATTTGATCAAATGCTTATGTCTTAAAACATGGAGGCATGTGCATAGGAAAAAATCATCCAAGGCTCTCTTTATTTCTGTTTTTATAGAGAAGTTAAACACTTCAAAGGAGCAGTTCATTGGATGTCTAAAAATCTGAAATAAGGCAGATAAATAATTCCTGGAAGGGGTAGCTTTATCTTCATTAACCATAAATGGAGTCCAGGTTGACTGGCTCAGATATTGAAGGCTAAATTGTTGGTATCTTAACATTGTAAGATGAATCCCAGCCTCAGAGACTACCATGATGAGGCTGATAGAAAACATGAAGATCTGAGAGTTAATTTACTCTTTGTCAAATGGCATTTCTACTGTAAAATTTACCTTGAAAATGCAGCAAATAGCAACACAAGGAACAGACAGAGCTGTCTTGTGAAGGGGACTTCTGTTAGGATGGCACTTTCTGTAGCTGTAATCTATCTTCTTTCTTGTAAAATTGGCTCTTAACAAGTATGTGTAATGCAAGAAACAGTAAGAAACTCAGAGGACAAACTATGTTAGGGTATATACTCCTGTGTGCAAGTAAGGGTAGAGGTTTTTCTAAGCATTTTTTTAAAGCCATTGGCAGAAGATAGTAAAGTAGGTTTAACATAAAGGGCAGCTTCTGTGTGGGTGATATAGTTTGTCATACTATGATTAGTGTATTTCATGTGGTGATATCAAATAACATCTTGTAAATCTACAATGCAGTAATGTTAAGCTAAGTTATTTCAGAATCATTATACTATTTTCAGTATTTTCAGCAGGTCAAAAGATTTATATAAGCAGTATCATGACAACTAAAACACATAGCAGCAAAAAAACATCAGAATATTGTCCCATAATGGCTGTAGCACAGATTATGAACTACTGATGATCAAGTCTCATTTTTTAACATAAGTGAACAACAAATTAAAAGATTTTTGAGTGGAAGTTCAGAAATAAGAAAACTCCTGTATATATGCAAAGAGATGATGCATGAGCTACTTCTGTCCAATTGTAAACTTATACTGAATTCTCTGTCTTGTAGTTTGATAGGAAGATACAGGAACAAAAGATGATGTCTTCCTAAAGATAAGGGTTAGAAGTGGGACCCACAAGCTTTTTACAGACACAGGATGTCTCTGAAGGAGACTTGAAAAGAGCTTCTTTAACGACTTAGAGTAAATCCAGCAGCTGGACAAAGATGTACTTTAATCACATTTTGAAAGCTGCCTGGGCAGACCACAGTGTTCTCATTCCTAGGAGTAAATTCAGAATTGAGAGGAGACCTTGTGTGAAACCTGTCTGAAGGCATTCTCATTTGGAACATTTTATTGTAGGAAATTGGATCAATTTTTGGATGCAAGATACCTGTGGATATACTTCCCTCATGGGAAGTGCTTAAACTTACAATACATATTTTATTTTTGACATCCATGGTCAAAACATGGAGGGGTGGGGTTTTTTTCTTTTGTATTGGTTGTAATGAGACAGATGCTGCCAGTGTTTTCCTGGATAAGCAGCTTCAGCTGCTGAGATTTTACTCACTTGGCTAAAATTGTAAGGTTTAATGAATGGCTTAAGGTGGTGGTGATGTCTGTGCTGTAAAAGGTCAAAGTTAGTTTTAACTAGTTTTAACTATTTTTTTAACTTAGTTTTAACTCATGCGATCTGTTGATATTTCTTAAATTCAAAGCGTGGTTCTTTAAGAAATATAAAGGGAAGGAAGTTGTTTAAATCCAGTAAGTAATGGTTTTATTCCTAATATATGTTTAAATGTAAATAATTGAGAAATAATAATCTTTACATTATTAACAACCATTTATTTTTATAGATACATATTCTGAAGCTTAACATATTTGACATTCCAGTGAGACACAGTGAAGTTTTGCAACACAAAGAATGCATTTTATTACTAAATTGCGGGAATATGTAGAAGTGTTTTTAAACCTGTGCTTACAAGGTACCATTACCACTTGTAACTATTTTTACAGAAATATAATATTGTTCTGTGAGCCACATATTATTATCTGATTATTATCAGATTATTATCTGATACAACGAAATATTCTGTGATGGGATAATTAGAGTATTATGAAAAAAGGGAGGAAAGTGTTGTCATTCTATATAGAATAAAATAAATTTAAGCCTCCTGAAAATGGGAATTGATGCAGTTTGTATATTAAAACATCATATCATGTGTACCAAGAAGTTGCATGTAAGTGTAGTTTGAATTGGGCATGATGAAAATGCTTTCTGCGGAAAACTTCGTACGGATTTCTAGTGTCTAGTAACTTGTTATTACAATTATATGCTCATATTTCCTCTGGGGTTTTATATAAATATTTTCATTTAACTGAAACAACTAAGCACTCCATTTTTTTCTTTACATAGCAGATGGTACGTGAACAATACACTACAACAACACCAGGCACTAGCCTAGAGAGGCCGAAGAATGAATATGTCTACAAAATCGGAATTTATGGCTGGAGAAAGCGTTGCCTCTACCTGTTTGTTCTCCTCCTGCTTATCATCCTAGTTGTGAATTTTTCTTTGACAATTTGGATTCTTAAAGTGATGTGGTTTTCCCCAGTAAGTGTCCCCTTTAATTTTCTATTTTTTTCATATTCTCTTCCCTGCCTTACCACTTCACTTATTTTGTATGTGCATGAGCTTTTCTGTGTGTGATAGTTGTTTTAATTCCTTCCCAACTGTAATTTGTACTTCAGTTGAAAGTATGTAAGCAATGCCTATATTTGAACATACTTCCTTTAATTTCTGTATTGATGATAATCTTTAAACTACTGAGGTTGTTGACACCTTATATTGAGATAAATCCTAACCATTCTAAGAGAATGTATTTTACCGTTGTCTCAAAGTGTCTATTTAGTTTATGTTTTATAAATGTGTTTGCTGTAATTTTATCTCATACTGAATTCTTAGTGTTAAACTATTGCTGACAGGCGCTGGTTTTCCGTAGATTCCCTCTCCTGTTTATCAGCATCTAAAATTTTACAATTTATTTGACTAATTAATTATAGCTCAGAGGTAGTTATTACTACATCATGCTTGAGGCTAAGATGTATTATTCAGAAATAAATTTAGTCTTTCCACTGTCATATATATTTTAATATTTATAATGTAATTTTGCATGTAGTAGATTAAAGGGTAACTCTCAGAAGTCTGCAAGATGTAGGTTTAGTCACAGTGCAATAAAATGCATCACTGAATATTAAAGCTAAGCTAATTTGTTCTAACTTGCAATCATGATACAGAGATGATTTGAATAGACTTGTTTTGATAAAAATAATTGTAAAATCTGCCCCTGCTACTGAAGAAAGTGTTAAGTTCTCATTATCTATCATTATTATGCTTCTGTCACTAAATTAAGGCCATTTCACCTTCATAGAAGTGTTTCTATACTCTAATTTCTCTTAAGGTAGGTTAATTTTAAGTCCTACTTGCTAATATAGTTACTAGTGCTGCCCATCAAGTTTCTTTCATCTGACAGGGGAAAGTAAATTATTTTTAGTGTTGTTAATTGTCATACAGAATACAATGCAGAACATCTTAGATCACATACAATTTTTCTTTTATGCAATTCACATGGAAGATGTACACTTAGTGATTGCACATCATGAATGTCTGAGAATATGAATAACTTCAAACTGTTTTCTGTGTGGCTCACATTTATATTCTTAAGATTTTTTAAGATTTTTTTATGTTAGTTTGGTTTGCTTGTATGAAACTGGATATTCCTTCTCTAATAACAGTCAGGACTAAAAAATAGCATCAGAAACTCCACTTCTGAGAACTTCTATCTCATACTAGTTATCTGTGAGGAAGGCACCAAATGTCTTGATCATCCACTGAAGGACAATGTCCTTCTTCCTTGGCATCAAGCGCAGTGCAATAACAGCTCAAATAGTGCAGGCTGGCATTTTTTCACAGAGTGGACTGTGAATGACAGGGTAATGAGGGTTTTCCTAATTCCCTGTTAAAGAACCTGTATTCATGACATACCCAATTAAAAAGTCACTTAACTGTAATGCCTTTAGTCATAGAAATTATCAATACTGTCATTGAACCCTTTTCCTGATGGAATTAAGCATTTATGCCTCCAAGTTTTTGGTTATTGTTTGAAAAAGAAAGATAACAATATACTCTCAGATTTTTATGGTTGCTGAGTTCCAAGCTTGATTAGTATTTGCTATTTAGGAAATCACTTGATTCATATATACCCTATTTATGCAATTAAACATTGCCATTATTGGGAAGAGTTTAAAAGTAATTGTGAAATATTAGGCTATGCAGTCATCAGTTATGTGGCAAATATTAATCTGTCAGCTGTGATAACACTTCTTTAATTTCTTAATTAATTTCTTAATTATATGTCCTATATATATTATGAAGAGATTACACAATTATATTTAACATTATTAATATATATTTGTAATTTTAGCTGTATCTGTTGGACAAGTGAGTAGGAATTTTGGGGATCTATATTTTGGTGTTCGATACATAAGTTATTTCAGTATCTCCCATACTAATTGCCCAACATATAAACTCCATATTGGCATGACTTTAGTAGGTGTCATGACTGGCAAACAATTTGGTGTTGAGCTAATCTGTATTAAAATGTTTCATATAACACTGAGCATCTGAAAGCTTTACAGAGATTAGCTGCTCGATAAGAAGCATTAACAAGAGGTATTTGGCTTCTTAGTTTGTTACATAACTGATACGATATCACAACTATAATCTTTTGCTTATATTGCTACCTCAGTGATTTCTGAGGGATTTTCTCTTTTTGCATTTTTACTTTTACATTATCTTTGTATTCCTTATCAAAAGCCAAGTTCATGAGTCTGATGTCACATTTTTTTCTGAATATACCTATCTTTAGCTGTCCTACCCTGCTATCACATAGAGAATTAGTACTCATATCTTCAGAACTTCACCCATAATATTGGTTTATTGTGTCGATACTGTAATCAGTGAAGACTCAGACCAAAATTTTTAGGTCACTATTGAATCTCACAATGTGTCACACTAGTACTCTAAGACTCATGTGTGAAAAATGCACCTAATCAGATGATTTCCATTTCTGATGCACCAGCAAATCTTGCTCAGAAACCCCACATTGATTTAGTTTTAATATCATTTAGGTTGTGCAACATTATCATAACGTCAGGAACAGTTGTGTACCAAAGATTATTCCTAACTTTTTTTAGCCTCTGATGGAGAAACCCATGTTTCCATGAGTTTTAGTGGATGCCACAGGTATCACACTCTCCTGGAATAAGAAAGGTCAAGGCAGTTGTGCTGTATTTCAGTTTGATAAGGACAGATAGTCATGAAATAAGGGTGTTCCCCAGTATAACTAGCTGCCTTTCTCCAGTGTGAAGTTTGGCACGTAGCACAGGTTTTTCTCTGACAAAATTTTAAGCAGTGTGACTGAGAGAGGCAGACAGGTCTTTTATTGGGTTAGAAGCACTGTCAGTCAAACATGACTCAAATCTGCACTCAGTCCCATTTTCTCCTGCCACCCATGTTAAGCCTTACTTGGGTTTGAGTCATTAACAAGAGGAAAGTCAAGCCCTAATACTAAGCCTTAAAATAACCTTTGTCATGGCAGAAGTGAACTTGCTATATGAAAGGCCATGCACGCAATATCCAGTCCATCACTGTGTATTCTAAGCATGGTTCTTCCTAAGAACAGCACAAGTAATTAGTGAGTGCTCTACCCATATACCTGTCCCCCAAAATTATTATCACAAGCATACCACACTGCAAATCTTTGAGTTCTCATGGGCAGTTAATAGTTAATATAGAGAAAGCATTAGAAATGGTTTGTAATTATTTTTCAAGCTTTTCTATAAGGAACTGACAACTTTTTTATACTGTATAAGAAAATGCTAAAAAGCTAAGTATGTATAATCTTACTATGTATACACAGATTGGCTGATAATAATACTGGTCTAGATCTAGAAATGCTATGTATTTTGAAAAAAATATAATCAAATACTTTTGTAAAGACCTGTTTAGGCACTTGACAAATTCTGGTGCTGAAGATAGAATTTATTCAGGAAATATGAAAAAATGCAAAACTAGGAATGTGATGAATCAAGAAAGTAAAATTTTAACTGAAAATCAAGTAACACTTTCCGACAGTGAGACTTACTAGATGGTATAATAGCATGCCATATTAAATTGGAGATCCCAATCATGTGGAACACTTAAAACGAGACTAGACAGCAATAAAAATGTGCAGTAAAGAACACTCATTCACAGCAAAAATTCTCCATCACTGCAAAAACATACACTAATGAACTCGTACATCCTTTCCATGAGTTTTATGATTAATAGTGTACAGTCCATGGAATTATTTGCTATTTTGAGAATGTCACATTTTTAAGACTAAAATAAAATATATATTTAATTATTCACAAATTCTCATCCTAATTTTCACTAAAATATTTTCATTATTGGTTGAAACACCAATATTGCATAGTTTCTATTCTGAATAATCCTGAGCAGCTGTATTTTGCTATTTTTCCATAAAGTCAAATATAATTTACCCTCAACCAGGCCACGATTATTCCCATTGTCTCTATCAGATGGTGAATATTTACATATTTTATGCAAAGAATAATCATTGAAAAGAAAAAGATTGAGGCACTTACTACTGTTATCAAAGAAAGCAAGGCTTCTCAGTAGTGCAATACATATTTGTTTTACATAAAGCATTTTATTAATCTGAATTATTATTCAAATCATGCATATGTAAAAGTGTGGAACAACACTTTTTTAAATGGAAAAACCAAAAACCAACACCTAAGTTTACTCTTGGAATAATTTATAATATTGATAAAGAATTTTTAAATATCTGAGTACACTGACATTAGAGTGTATGTGCAAGTTTAAGAAGTGTGGACTGCTGAGCTCCTAAGGGCTTGACTGCAGCTCTGGACTGTACTTTGCTAGTTTTAAGCTGTTTGGGGAAACTTAAATAAAGCAGCTCTTGTCAAACTCTGTGCCAAAGAAAAAAACAGATGTTCTGATATCATAGTCTGATGTATCACCTTCTTTGCTGAGCCTAGACACAATCAGTATTGTTCAGCTGCACACTGTCCTGGGGTCTTGGCATGTATTTTTGTTCCCAGGAGCAAGCAAAGCTGTTCTAATGTAGGGGCTGGGAATGATGAATGGTAGAGGTGGTGAAGTTTACAGTCTGTGTAGCTGAAGTGTGAAAAAGGTCTCTGTCCATGAATTTTTTTTAGTGCTATCAGCTGACTTCAGAAGACTCCCTGAAGACTTTTTATATATTTTTAGTTCATTATTTTCTCAACAGTACTATTACACATTCACATACTCAGAGAAAAATTACTGTAATGTTTCTTACAGTAACATAAGTTGACACAGCATGGTTGAGGCTGAGGACGCTGATGATAACAAATAACATTTTCAAAATGTGTGACTTTCCAGTACCTGGATCCAAGTGGACATGGTAGTTGCAAGCTTGCCTGCCTGTGAGATCCAACCTTGATCTCAAGTGATTACAGGAGTAATACCTGCAAACCCTCTCCTGC